AGGAAGGAAGGGGAAGGAAGGAGGAGAAAAGGAGGTGAAGGAAGGAAGGAAGGAAGGAAGGAAGGAAGGAGGACGAATGGGGAGAAAAAGAGGTGAAGGAAGGAAGGAATGAAGGGGAAGGAAGGAGGAGAAAAGGAGGTGAAGGAAGGAAGGAAGGAAGGAAGGAAGGAGGACGAATGGGGAGAAAAGGAGGTGAAGGAAGGAAGGAAGGAATGGGGAGAAAAGGAGGTGAAGGAGGTGAAGGAAGGAAGGAAGGTAGGGGAAGGATGGAGGAGAAAAGGAGGTGGAGAATGGGACGAAGGCGGAAAAAGGGAAGAAGGGATGATGGAAGGAGAAGTGATAAAAAGGGGAAAGAGCGAGGATATACATGAAACGAGAGAAGGAAGGAGCGAAGTTGGGGTAAAGAGAGGGAGAGGAGAGGAAAAGGGAAAACGGGGAAAAGAGGGAGATGAAAGAGATGAGAAACGGAGAGGGTAAGAGAGGGAGATAAAATTTGGGAGATAAAAGAGAGAGGAAGAACGGATAAAAGGGAGAGAGAAAAAAAGAGATAACAAGAAGAGCAGATAAAAGGGAGCGAAAAATAAAAAAAAATAAAGGGAAACGAAGGAGAGAAAAAGGAAGTAAAGTAAAGTAAAGCAGAGGAAAATTCCACACGCGGGGGGAGGAGAGGGGAGGGGAGGGGGAGGGGGAGGGGGGGAGGGGAGGGACGAAAGGGGGGAAAATGCAGCACAATGACCAAGCAAAAGTTGGACAGAGAGGAAACTAAATCGGAGGGCGACGTGAAAGTACAGACGAAAGGGCAGCAGAAAAGAGGGGTGGGGTGGGGTGGGGGGGGGGAGGGAAGGGAAGAAGAACAGTGGAGAGGAAGAAGAATGAGGAGAAGGCTAAGGGGAAGGGAGGAGGAAAGATGAAGAGGAGAGGCGAGGAGGAAGAGTGCAACTCAGTCGGAATGAAAGACTGAGAGGGAGACAAAGAGGGCCATGGGCGGTGCCACCACTCTAAGATAAGGGGAGGGGAGGGGGGGGACTCACCATAGAGGTTGGGCGGGCTGGCGCAGGTGGGCGAGTCGACGGTGAGGGACGCGTTGTCATCGGCGGCGATCCGGGAGAGCCACACCATGGAGCAGTTGCAGTGCAAGGGATTCCCCGACACCATAAGACTCGCCAGCTGCTGCAGAGGGACCTGAGGAAGGCGCGGAAGAAGGGGGCCCCGTTAATGGCTGCGTAAGTTGCTCCTCATATGCGAGTGTCTCCCAAACTATTTCGTGAGTTAAAAGAAAGGATAAATTGAAAAAGAAAAAGATGGAAAAAAATGTTAATTAACCTCGAAGTGTAATGAGAAGACAGGGGCTTGGAGAACGTGCAAGGGACACGCTTCAAGAAACTGTAATCGTATAATTTTCTTTTTTTTCACTTAATATTATTACTGCTGGGGGAAATGCATTATTGGAATTACGAAACGCGGAGAGGTAATATACCAGAACACTTCCCTAAAAATGGCAAGAGCAATATCAATCTGGTTCCGCGCCCTTAATACATTTCCATTTCACGGAAGAATGAGAAAATGTCCGCTCGCACACAACCCCTCCGCCCAGTCATGTTAAATTGGCACGTTGGACGCGGAGGGTCTCTTACCTGCGTGGGCGTGATGTGCAGCAGGCCGCACGCCCGCAGGTCCACGTGCCGCAGGTTGAGGAGCGAGGTGAGCGTGGTGGGGGCGAGGGAGGCGAGGCGCGGGTTGTGGCTCAGCACCAGCGTCTCCAGCTGGACCGTGCTGAGGAAGGCCTCGCTGCTGACCCTGCTGAGGCGCGGGCACCGGGACACCGTCAGGCTCACCAGCGACGCCAAGCCGTTGAAGCCGTCCTCGGGCAGCTCCTCAAACAGGTTGCCGCTCAGGTCGAGGTCCTGCAGGTCGGGCAGGCCGCTGAAGGACAGGGTGGGCACCTGCTCCAGCCTGTTGTCGGCCACGGCCAGGCGGCGGAGCTCCGAGAGGCCCCAGAAGGCCGCCGGGTTGACGGCGCTGATGTTATTTTTGTCGAGGCGGATGTAGGCGAGGTTGGCGGCGCCCTGGAAGGCGCGGCCAGGCACTTGGGAGATCTGATTGTCGCTGAGGTCCAGCTCCAGGAGGGACGACAGGTTCAGCAGGCTGGAGCTGGGCACGCGGTCGAACAGGTTGCCGCCCAGGTTCAGCGTCCACAGGCTGGGCAGCGCGGCGAAGGAGCTCTCGCGCAGGCTCTTCAGTCTGTTGTTGGAGAGGTTGAGCTCGATGAGGCTGACGAGGCCGCGGAAGGCGCCGTCGTCCACGCTGGAGATGAGGTTGTCGCTGAGGAGCAGCACGCGCAGCCCCGCCAGCCCCTCCAGCGACGCCGCCTCCACGGCGCTCAGCTTGTTGTGGCTCACACGCAGCTCCGCCAGGTTCTTCTGCGACTCGAAGTTCTTGGCGCCCAGCGTCGCGATGTCATTGTGCGAGATGTCCAGCTCTTTCAGGTCCGTGTAGAAGA